AAATTATATGTTACTTCTTACGGTAAAAATAAAAAGTAAAAATTTTCCAACCTACATGCTGCAGACGATATTGCTGGTCCATCTTCGTCTAATATACAACAATAAAAAGGATAATTGCTTGTGTTTCATAAAATGCATTAAAGCATTAAGTTAAATAAATACTAATAATAATAGTAAATAATAATAATAATAGTAATAATAATAGTAAATAATAGCAATAAGTTTAAATAAATAATATACAATATCTATAAAGAACATCGCATCTGCACAAGACTTTGCTATCTTGTTTTAATGTGCACATATTACACTTGTTAAATGTGCAAAAATATAATAAAAAATAAAAAATTAAAAAATATAAAAAATACAAAAATACAAAAAAATATAATAAAATTTTTTATTTTTCTAATTTTTCTATCTTCTATCTTCTTATATCTATTCTTTATTATTTTCTAATTACAGATATAACTCTTCCTAATAACAGATATAATTTCCATTTTTTTTTTTTAGTATAACGAACATTGTATGTCAATGTTATTAATATAATGCTTACAACTGTAAGCGCTAAAGCGAATGTAGTCTATATCATAAAGCGCGATCATTTCGATGGTCAGAAATCAGAATCGCCGAACGTGCAGGCTAGTTGTGAGAATAAAGAGCGAAAGAATCAGGATTAGGTTTGCTAGCCTCGTCTATTACTCGACGACGGCCGAACTTTCGAACTCTCACGGACATGCTTTCTCCTTGTGTGCGGCATCCCCACTCCCTGACTCTCTCGTGACTCTCGTCTTGAATCTAGGAGAGGGGTGTTGTAGCACGAACAGCTACCACGATAAGTCTTGCATAGTAACAAGTCCTCGTTACGCCGGCAAGTTTGCGAATTCCTGAACAGCGTGCGAAGGTCCCTCGCTGCATTTTACCATATATGGTCCGAATGAGAGCTTTAGCGCGAAGCTGTTCGAAACCGCGGATATTATAAAAACGGCTAACTAATCGTCGCCCGCGAGAGTTTGTTTCTAAATTTCTGACATATTGTCTCGATCTGCGAAATTATACTTTAACGCGAGTGTGAGAAATTATACTTTAACGCGAGTGTGAGAATGTAATATATTATCTACGAAACGTTAATTATTTTAAGAGATATAATCTGTAATAACGGGGAAAATAAAAGGCATTTACAAGAATAGTGAGTGTTACTGACAAGTTTTTCGTGTACTGCTACCAGCGCTCCTTGTGGATTCCAACCCTTCAGGTGGACCGAATCCAATATTTTTTCCTTATTGCACAGAGAGACAACAAAAATTTTATTATATAAAACTAAGTTATTACATGATAATGTATATGCAAATATAGCAAATTAAAAAAATAAAAGAAAAAATACATTAAATAAAATAATAATGTTTAAACGC